ATTTCCAATCGCTTTTAGATATATGCCTGACCTCTACAATACATTTTTCTATTTTCTATTCAAACCTGGCTTCTGAAATAAAAAAACTAGATTCACACCTAAAGGGTTGTTAAAAACGTGTCATTGCACAAAATTATGAATGCATTGCAACAATTAGGAAAAGTTACCATTTATTTTCATTCCTTTTTGTTTGAAATATAACAATTTTAAATTGAAACATTTGATATAAAATTTCTATTTTTCTATGTACATTGTTCACACACATACCCTGGTCCCAGAGTTTTTCTTGCTTCTCTCTTGTGCTGATACTAAGAAGCCTTTTGAATGGTCAAAGGGAGTCATTTTCACTACTTTGCTACTCATATTAAATTGACTTAGGAATAATAAAGAAAAAACCTGTGGAACCAGGGTAACAAACATAAACTTTTGAACGATTCTTAAGTCTTGTAACTGCACATTAAATCTACACTTTTTTGCTAACTGCACATTAAATCTACACTATCTAGCTGAACTGTCAGAAGGGGGGGATTGCTGTGAGGAGTTAAGTATCACTGCTTTCAGAGGCTACATATTCCTTACAGTTCACAGCCATTCATAAACATGCATGGAGAGAAGTATGTTAAATCAATATGCATGGAGAGAAGTATGTTAAATCAATATTGTACAGTTCCAGAAAATGTCCATACTCCCCCACAGAATGGATTGGAATTTCTTGGGGTCAGGGGAGGGGGGTCTGTAAGACCAAAACATTGAAAAAATGTATGAAGCTTATCCATCCCTGATCATTATTAAATTTAAGCTAATTTCTAGGAGCTCTAGATTTTAAACATTGATTGGTGACAAAAATTGCTCAGATGACATCAGTTAACACAGTGTAAACTGATGATCCTTCATTTTAACATAAATGGCCTTTGGCCCATTGTTGTATTTTGGTTTTCTCCACATCTGTCTCTGATTATCAGATCAACTTAAGTCTACTTCCTTTTCATTACTGCACCTTCAGTAACAAACTCTGCTCAATCATCGGTTTCATGTTTCGCCGCTATCAATCATCTTGGGGACCTCTCACAAAACAGAAGTTTGCTTCAATGGGTTCAAATGGTCATGTCTGTGGGTTGCGATTGGTAGAATTTGATCCTTTTTGGATGTTTCTGTTTTGCACAGTTTGTTGGTTGTCAGTGTAAAAAAAAATGATTGACAGCAGCCAAAAATGCAATCAGTTATTTTTTGAACTTTAGAGTTCGCATGCTATTGAAAGGTGCAGTGAGGTGATTGTCCACTGTGGCAGCACTTTCTTTCTCATTTCAGCTCCTGTACACAAACTCAGGGAACCATAACATCCCTCAAAAATGCACCACCATCGCCCTCGAGAATACTTGTGCCAAGATCACGGAAGTTCAGGTCAGTGGCCAGTTTGTAACACATGCGCACATCACTTACAAAACCTAACAGTCTTTTCATGTTGGTGGCTGCTTGAGATGAGCGTGAGTTTTCATTCTTGTACCTAGCAAAGTGGACACAGCATTAGTTCCTCACTAAAACTGTTTTATTTGGAAGCATTAATTAACCATTGCAATAACCTTTGATGTAGCATTTTTTATGATTTAGTTGAAGTACCCAACAAGACACTTTCCCACTTTTCCACGCAGTATTGCTATGAATGTGTGGTGAAATATACCCTTAAACTGTATGGAAACCTCTAGGAGTCACCAGGAATCAGACAAACAGAATGCACAATACACATGTAAGGTCTGCTTCTACCCTTGTTTTTTCTAATAACCAGACAGTTCTGGTTATTTTGGACTGAGATGAAATCAGTGAAATTTCATGTTCCACTTGTGTAAAAAGCAGTACCAGTATAAAGATCATGTGTTAAGAAATCCAGGGTACCACTGACAATACTCACTTGTTGGCAATATCAACAAAAAGGCTGTTGGAGAGCGGAAGAGCTGAACGCATATCCTGAAAGTAGCTGAAGTTTCCCTTCATTACAACTTGATGGTAAACTGCGTCAAACCAAATGGAAATGTCACGCTTTTTATATGCTTCAGCAACCAGAAGAGACTGAGGGACACAAAAACAGTCATAGATTAAAATCTTCAGTACAAGCTTAGGAATCAGAGAAACAAGAAATCAGTATAGGCATTTACATGTAATACAATGTTATGTCTTAGTTAAGTTACTTGTAAATCTAATCTTAATTAAGTTGAATCTAATGTGCACTCCCATTGGTTGATTTATGGTTACATGGCAATGACTAAATCTAAATGCTGTCCTGTGACCAACAATTAAGCAATTGTCACTCCTTCCTCCAGGTGGCTCAAAAATCATCTGGAGATGTGACCTTATTAATTTTTGCATTTAGTTAATTCTTTTAGTTGTCATGAACAATTTTGCCCTTTGATTCATTTTTATGTAAATAATTATTAATAAATTAATTAATATTTACTAATAATTATAAGTGCCAATTTCCTACATCAGGTGCTTCTGCAGGGCAACTGTCTTGAATTGATAAGTCACTTTTGAATTATCAAACTGAGCACAATAATTTGTCTTCATAAAGAATTTACTTGGTCTGAAACAAGCCTGATTATCCCGATTGCAATACAGATCAAGTGCAACTCTGACCTGAAAGAAGTGAGTATGATGAGCAAGAAATTTCTTCAGAGCATATTCATCCAAGTTGACAACTGTGACACCAGATGAAAGAACCTGGATTTGAAGATGAACCAGCCTAGCATTTCTGAGGCAATTCTGTGAATGTCGCCAACAGTTCTCCTAGAAATCAAAGGGGAAAACAAATTTCATTACATTCATTAAGCAACTTTTTTTTCCAAAGATTAGAATTGCCAAGAAATCTTGAATTGAGTGCGAGTGAATTTACAATTATAATATATTAGCGTCCAAGGAATACATTTTATCAAATCATCACACCTTCCAAATTCCCCCCCCCCCCTCCAAGTCCTAAGCAAGTCCACTAGAGGGGGGTATAGTGAACCCAAAACTACTCAATTGTAAGTCACACTAAATGTCAGGTGAAACACTCTCACCTTTGCATAGTTGTCTGAAGCATAGCAGAAGGACTTCATTATGGAGTTTAGTTTGAAGAAAACTTCAGCAGCACCTGAAATAATATTTACATTAACAATGGCTATAAGGTTAAATCAAATTATTTCATACAACATAACGGCCATGTTTATATAAAACAACAATCAGTGTGGTATAATCATGACTACTAACACTTGGAATCTGTTTAACTTGTAGACATAATGTCAATGATCACCATATAATGTATACAAAAGCTAAATAAAATTTGAATGTCTTTTGCAACAACTTAATGAATAAGATTGCGCAGAAATCAAAGCGTAAATTGCATAGATAAAGCTGATATGAATAAAAACAATTTTTTCCATGAGACCAAAGCAATATCCTTTTTTAAATATGATTTATAGCACAGTTACTTTAATTTGTTAAATACTTCACTCTTCAGATGTTTAATGAACCCTGTTATGCCACACTTCAAAATATTTCAATTTCTCCTTATTGACTGCCATACGTTTCATTTAATATTATTTCTGAGAATTTGGTGGTAAATCAAAAGGATATCCCTAGCTGATGGTCATTTTTTTTTTTAGCTCATCACCCTTTCTGCTTAGAAATTTGTTGACATTGTGTTGTGGGTCATTCCTGAGTGTTGTGGGCATTTGGGTGCATTTTTGGTCAAACAGGGACCAAACCTACAACTGAGAACCTTGGTTCACACATGAAAAGTGCTAAGAAAAACTAAAATGAAGATATTACACTATAAATAAATGACTTGTTTAAGGGAGAGCAAATTAAATTAGTTTTTTTAATATTNAAATTTCATTACATTCATTAAGCAACTTTTTTTTCCAAAGATTAGAATTGCCAAGAAATCTTGAATTGAGTGCGAGTGAATTTACAATTATAATATATTAGCGTCCAAGGAATACATTTTATCAAATCATCACACCTTCCAAATTCCCCCCCCCCCCTCCAAGTCCTAAGCAAGTCCACTAGAGGGGGGTATAGTGAACCCAAAACTACTCAATTGTAAGTCACACTAAATGTCAGGTGAAACACTCTCACCTTTGCATAGTTGTCTGAAGCATAGCAGAAGGACTTCATTATGGAGTTTAGTTTGAAGAAAACTTCAGCAGCACCTGAAATAATAACATTTACATTAACAACGGCTATAAGGTTAAATCAAATTATTTCATACAACATAATGGCCATGTTTATATAAAACAACAATCAGTGTGGTATAATCATGGCTACTAACACTTGGAGTCTGTTTGAATTGTAGACATAATGTCCATGGTCACCATAGAATGTATACAAAAGCTAAATAGGATTTGAATGTCTTTTGCAACAACTTAATGAATGAGATTGCACAGAAATCAAAGCGTAAATTGCATAGATAAAGCTGATATGAATAAAAACAATTTTTTTCCATGAGACCAAAGCAATATCCTTTTTAAATATGATTTATAGTACAGTTACTTTAATTTGTTAAATATTTCACTCTTCAGATGTTTAATGAACCCTGTTATGCCACACTTCAAAATATTTTAATTTCTCCTTATTGACTGCCATACGTTTTGTTTAATATTATTTCTGAGAATTTGGTGGTAAATCAAAAGGATATCCCTAGCTGATGGTCATTTTTTTTTTTAGCTCATCACCCTTTCTGCTTAGAAATTTGTTGACATTGTGTTAGGAAAACCAAGTTGTGGGTCATTCCTGGGTGTTGTGGGCATTTGGGTGCATTTTTGGTCAAATAGGGACCAAACTTACAACTGAGAACCTTGGTTCACACATGAAAAGTGCTAAGAAAAACTAAAATGAAGATATTACACTATAAATAAATGACTTGTTTAAGGGAGAGCAAATTAAATTAGTTTTTTTAATATTTTCAAAAACACAAGGTGATAATAATGACAGTGCACCTTTAACTTACCCTTCTCAGCATTTACCTGTCCTTGCTTTTTCTCTGAATTAAAAAAAACAACAACGTGTAATCAAATTACATTATAAATAATATTACCTAAGGTACTGAATCCTATACAATGAATTGAATTTGACAACCAAAACTCATCACTTGTAATAACACTTTCTAAATAATGGTTTTAAACTGTAGAAAGAAAAATACTAGTAACCAAAAATGAGTAAGCATGGTCAATACAAACTGGAAAAGATTGAAACAGATATATAACAGATTGCTCAGTGAGAGCAATCAACAGACAAGTGTTATTTGAAAAAAAGAATGAAAAAATAGGAAATGACACAAAAAGTCATGTATTTCATTCAAGGCTTATGTATTAAGTATTTTCAAATCCTACTTAATGTACTCTGAAGGCTATGAAAACAGGAATCAGCTAGACAAAGTTTAATTGATAATAATTTATTGATTATTAATTAGCCAACAGCATGAGAAATGAGGCAGCCATATGTTTTCTATATGCATTACAGTAAGGAAACCAAGTAAGTACCTGGGAAACAGTCTCCCAGACTAGCCAGCTGTTTCACAGCTGTCTCCTCCAGGGTCTGGGCGATCTCTCGGTACATGCTGAAGTGATGGGCCACCATGGAGAACTTGTCTGTATCTTCTGGGTGTTGTCTTCGTAAGTACTCAAGAAGAGCAACTTTAAGCTTGTTTTCCTGAGCCAAAGAGAAATTAAATCAATAACCCAGCAAGCACACAGCAAGTGAGCAAGTGAGTAAGTAAGAGCCAATGAATGAATCAACGAAAACTGTTTCCTGGAAGAAGGTAATGAGACATAAAAGTCAAATGGACTGACAGGACATGAGATGCCATGTAAAAATTAATTATTATCTCTGTCATTTTTATTTTAAAATATTTATTGCAATATTGGATTTTACAGACTCAAGACCACTAACATCAAATTCACTTACATTTTGTTGTCAAAATGTTGTTTTGCTGCCTTTTTGGTGATACGGCAGCCATTTGGAATTCTGCTATTTCAATAGCTATTGTGGGATGCTCAGGGGGTAAATTAGTATGTATTTGCCTCCTAAGCATTCCATAAAAGCTATTTGAAACAACAGGATTCAAAATGGCTGCTGTATCGCCGAAAAGGTCCATAACCTTTTTAGTCATGTCAGTTTGAAACAAGTCAGTCAAGATGTTTCAATCATTTTCTTTAGGCTTTGTATTTGGGCTGCAACATTTCTATTAAGGTAAAACAGTGTTACATTTACCTTATCAATTCCCCTTCGACAAAGCAGCTCAAAATGCTCATGTTCAAAGAGAGTATCAAAGATGTAAGACATCTCATGGAACCTAGCTATGCCAGTGAGCAGACGAACCTGTAGTGAGAAAAATGTTGTGAATTATGAATCTAAAGAAATTGTGCACACAAGAAAGTTTTGTTTGCTTGTCTGTTTCTTCCAACCAAACCATGAAACCAAAACAAGCAGAGTAAAAAACAAGCACACAGCCTAATGATCATCTTGACAAAACTATGTATAAAACTTGCAAAATTTACAAATTTGTTTAAGTCAGTGAATTTAATGTTTCAAGGTACTGAATAACAGGTTACCATCAGCATATAATCTCTGGTTTCTGCCAAAGCAGTTGTGAGCACTCTTCCATTCCGGAGCACTGCTGCTATGCCCTCCATGTTACAAGCCAATGTGTGGCACTCATGAGCACGGACTAACAACTCCACTTCTAAGTTCAATCCTGTTAAAAAGTTCAACAAAACCAGATGCTTTAGCCTAATCCAGTGCCCAAGCATGTGCCAAACTTTTGGAAATGCAATTTCTATAACTCCTTTACTGTGATATCTAGGATTTAGAAACCAGCCATCGCAATTTTTGTTACTTAATAGAAATAAAAGACTGCATTGTATTTGGGGTTAATGTCAAACTTTCACTTACAATTACTGTAGCAATAAGAAACATACAAAACTACAGAGATGAAAAAAAAAAGAAAAAAAAAACATGCTTAGAAAAATCTCACAATAGTGTTAACCAATTTCCCAGTTATCCATAGACTTTTTTCCTACTCCTTACCCTTCTCTGATATGTGCGAGATATAACCCCCTTGAGAACCACTTATGAAGGCGTTTTCATATACTGCGAACCAGAGATGCTCACATCAACTAGCATCAATGTCCTGGCACTGTACAGTTAGTAGTCCTAGCTTATAATAAACAAAACCATGGAGACCTTACTAAAGGAGTAAGATTTCACAAACAAGTGATAATACCTCCAGGAAGAGTAGTTCCTTCAGCACGCTCATTGGCCAATGATGTGGCTGTGTCCAGGAGACGGCCACCAAGCAGGGAATAGTCAGGACACAAGCGAATCATGTGACTGATGTCTTCACAAGATGGTGCCGCATTTACAGTCAAGTCGCTGTATTCTCTTCCTGAAATATCTGAAGGTTGAGCAATGGATTACAATGGATAATCTCTAGATAAAAATAAACAGTTACCATACTGTTTAGTAGCTTTCATATGAATGGTTACAGAAGAGGGTTTGGACTCATTCCAATAGCTTTCATCTGAAATTTTTGTTTTATTCCCTGTATACAAATACAAATTTACACCATACAATAACATGGAGATAGCTAAAACAGCCATGCAGCTGCTGTTATTACCAATTAACACTGTGTGGACAAAATGTTCTTACTTATTAATAAGTTAATAACTAAAGTCACTTTTCCTTTGAACTGCCACGCACTTTGGTTTCACCCA